TCACGGGAGGTAGACGACCGTCCTTCACAGGCTTCACAGGGACGAAAGAGGGAGTGCTCAAAGAGCGGCTCCCACAGTAGGGCCCCTTGAATCATCGCGGTGCCCCCTATCAAACGGTTATCTTACCAGTCTGCGTGACACAAAATCATCCAGCACATGTATCCAACAGCAATGTTCGCAGACTCACGAACACATCCCCTTCCCGATCACACATCAAACACAAAACACCCGACCGCGAGCTCCAAAGTGCTGTGGCGAACACGGGATATAAAACGTGCAGCGCGTGAAGCTCCAAACTGTGACCCAATCCGCTCACACGTAGCTCCACACCAGTACCGACACCCGCAGGATCCTTCCTCGATATTATCGTGTTGGGTGGCGGATGCTTACCGTCAAAGGCTGTGGGCAGAAGAGTGACTCAAGACCTCTGTTTATTAACCCTCCTACAGCGGTGTCGCTGGAGACGCGACGGCGGATGATGACTCTGGAGTGTGTTGTCTCCCTAGTACGATACCCAGGCACCCAGTCAGTAAGGCCACTTGTTACGCTGTCTCTTTTTGGGCTGTCCCTTTTCACGCTGTCTCTTTTTGGGCTGTCCCTTTTCAAAAAGGGACAGCCCAAAAAGAGGAAGCGTAACAAGTGGCCTATAAAACTCCGCAAAAAAAAAGTCGAAAAAAGGTTTGTCAGCCGTTAATAACGCCTCTCCTGCTGCCAACCAAGCGATATAACTTCTTCTGTGTTTCGGCCAGAAGCTCTCCATTCTTCACGCGCCACATTTCCAGCGGGCTGCTCTCCCGCCAACATTCCGAATTTTCGGCCGCTTGGCAGCTCGCCATTTCTCCAATCAAAATCTAACTTGGATTTGGCTCTTTCTGGATGTTCGATATTCCGTTTCGGGTTTTCTGTCAATCGCACGCTCGCTACACTCAGCACACGGACGCGTAGCCGCGTAGTCACACGAAGTCTCTCTCGCTCTGAAGATTACCTCTGTCTCCCTCGCTATCTGCTGGTTGCCTGTCTGCCTGTCTGTCTCTTTCTCTCTCTCTGTCTGTTTGCATGTCTCTCCCTTTCTGTCTATCTGTCTGTCTGTCTCTGTCTCCCTCTCTCGTTCTCTGTCCCTCTGTCTCCTCAGCTCCTCAGCTTTCACATCCCCACACAGACATTCGATTCTTCTTAGTAGAGGCCACAATTTTTTATTTCCGTTCCGGATTTCTTTCTGATGATTACACTCTCTCAGAAGTATACAGTAGTGGTTCAGCAGCACAACAACACGAAGGCGGAGGACTTAATTACGCGCAAGCAGTGACTGCCTTAAGCGACAACAACATACACACACACACACATCGTTCTTATTTGTAGCGGCATTTTTGCACCTCAGGTGTGTGTTCTTGTTCCCAACAGGGCGTGCAGCTGAGCACGTGTTCTTATCGGTAAATTCTTAAGTTTTGGATTTTTTGAGCATCAAATTCTCAAGTGCCATATTCTTAAGTGCGGGCCGGCACTGTACTCATGTAGGCACACCGTGTTGGGAAAAACTGAGTAGTGTGCTTGTGCGGCATGATGGTGCGATGCCCCGCGCCACACCCTCTTGTCGACCGGGTGGGTTTGGTTTTGAGGTTTAGCCACCGCATGGGTGTTTTTGGCATGATTGTTGTGTGGTATCACAGAGATGCAACAGTGTTGTTAGTGATTCCCACTTTTGAGACGATGTCGTGCCTTCTGAACACACTTTGCTTGGCAATGTATATTGCTCGAAAAGCTGCCGTCGACTTGAACTGTCTGTCAAACCACGACGTAGTTTTTTCACGAGCATGCGGGAACTTGACGTCGAGCGCAAATCCTCCACTCGTATTAAGTTGATCCGCTCGTGGGTGTACGAGTATTTTTTTCGAAGGGGGGGGTTATAGCTTTTGCCATTTCATTGTTGAACAAATGCCGCAGTTTTCATGGCGGTGGGATGCTCAAGATGATGCCAGCCTAGTCTAACGCCTGCTGGGTAGGAGAAAACGAATGCCGTGAGAAGGGTGGCACAATCCCTCATTGATCTTCACGAGGGATGTACATGCATCGATATGGCTATTCTATGCGAGAGTTCACCATTGGATGATGTTGATGTATTAGTCTTCGACGAGGTTTTAGAGAGTCCGAATCATGTTGACTCCCTATGCGTGACCGCTGTCCAGTTCTGCGGCTGTCCAACCTTTGACTTGGAGCTGGTGTTTGGTTTGATTCTGTTGGTGGCCCTTCGATTATGGTGGCAGCCACCATGTTCGGCTCAAGTCAGCTACTGCTCACAACCAACCGTAGATGATTACCTCATCCACGATTCGTTTGGCAGCAGTCCCGCACTGCTTTCTCGTGTGCTCATTGATTGGTGGGTAACAACCAATTCGGGTGGATCACACCAACCTTTTCCGACTTCTTGCGTGCGGCAGGTCCCAAAAAGACAAACGAGAGGAGTACGGCCAGCCCGGTCAACACCAGACCCTGTCCTCATCGTTAAAGGTTGCGGATCGCAAGGGGCACCAACCACCACTCGAGCGACAACGAACGCCTCGCCGGCCTACATCACCATCAGCCCAACAGCACCGTTGAAACAACCGAGAGAATACTCGGCAAGACCGAGGTACCGCACCGGATCAGAGTTCGTCGTGTGTCGCTGAAACGACGAAACCTTGAGGAGGTCTACACTGATGAGCCTAGCCTGATCGGCGAGTGTACGACAGAATGAGCGCGTTCTTGGTCAATGCTTGACTCGCGACGACTTCGGTGACTTTCGCGTCGTCGNCGGCCTACATCACCATCAGCCCAACAGCACCGTTGAAACAACCGAGAGAATACTCGGCAAGACCGAGGTACCTCACCGGATCAGAGTTCGTCATGTGTCGCTGAAACGACGAAACCTTGAGGAGGTCTACAATGATGAGCCTAGCCTGATCGGCGAGTGTACGACAGAATGAGCGCGTTCTTGGTCAATGCTTGACTCGCGACGACTTCGGTGACTTTCGCGTCGTCGTACCGACGCCACCACTGTCCCGGCAGGCGGACGAAAGCAACGTAGTGCCCCTTGTTGGTCGTTTGGCCGATGTGGTGCACGACTCCGGTGAGGTCGTACATGTCCGGCTGCCGGGCTGCTGGCCAAAAAGCAGATGGCGGTGAGGGCAATGAAGTTTGAGGCGAGAAGAAGTTGGAAAACGTGCTGGTTTGCATAATCGGAGAAGAAAGGCGGAATTCCACTCAGGGGTGGGCACTGGTGAACTGAATACCCTGGTGGTGTGAAGTATCTTACCTCCGGCTCTGCTGGTAGGTGGGCCGATGTACGGCGCCATATCCATCTCCTTGGGGATCTGGACATCGTGGGTCAGTTTCTCACCGCGCCTACCGTCGTCGACGAGGAAAGAAGCAGAGCACAACAGTCAACAATTGGGGCCAAAAAGAAAAGACGAAAACTGCTTGCGCAGGTTCTGGGTACACGCATGTGGGTCTCAACGAAGGCGACGAGCTCAACAATACAAATTTCGGTCCGGTCAACATGAACACCGACGAAAACTCAGGTGGAATGAGGGTTCGAGAGCATGACGCCACAGCAGCAACCTTACCCAACCTACAAGCTCGACAGCCAACATCAGGGAATTAACCAGCT